CTAGTACATGACGCACCAGGTGCGTTGGTCAGTATCTAGTGTAATGACGCACTTGGTGCGTATTCAATATCTAGTGTAATGACGCACGTGGTGCATAGCTCAGTATCGAGTATAATGACGCACCTGGTGCGTTGGTCAGTATCTAGTGTAATGACGCACTTGGTGCGTATTCAATATCTAGTGTAATGACGCACGTGGTGCATAGCTCAGTATCGAGTATAATGACGCACCTGGTGCGTTGGTCAGTATCTAGTGTAATGACGCACTTGGTGCGTATTCAATATCTAGTGTAATGACGCACGTGGTGCATAGCTCAGTATCGAGTATAATGACGCACCTGGTGCGTTGGTCAGTATCTAGTGTAATGACGCACTTGGTGCGTATTCAATATCTAGTGTAATGACGCACGTGGTGCATAGCTCAGTATCGAGTATAATGACGCACCTGGTGCGTTGGTCAGTATCTAGTGTAATGACGCACTTGGTGCGTATTCAATATCTAGTGTAATGACGCACGTGGTGCATAGCTCAGTATCGAGTATAATGACGCACCTGGTGCGTTGGTCAGTATCTAGTGTAATGACGCACTTGGTGCGTATTCAATATCTAGTGTAATGACGCACGTGGTGCATAGCTCAGTATCGAGTATAATGACGCACCTGGTGCGTTGGTCAGTATCTAGTGTAATGACGCACTTGGTGCGTATTCAATATCTAGTGTAATGACGCACGTGGTGCATAGCTCAGTATCGAGTATAATGACGCACCTGGTGCGTTGGTCAGTATCTAGTGTAATGACGCACTTGGTGCGTATTCAATATCTAGTGTAATGACGCACGTGGTGCATAGCTCAGTATCGAGTATAATGACGCACCTGGTGCGTTGGTCAGTATCTAGTGTAATGACGCACTTGGTGCGTATTCAATATCTAGTGTAATGACGCACGTGGTGCATAGCTCAGTATCGAGTATAATGACGCACCTGGTGCGTTGGTCAGTATCTAGTGTAATGACGCACTTGGTGCGTATTCAATATCTAGTGTAATGACGCACGTGGTGCATAGCTCAGTATCGAGTATAATGACGCACCTGGTGCGTTGGTCAGTATCTAGTGTAATGACGCACTTGGTGCGTATTCAATATCTAGTGTAATGACGCACGTGGTGCATAGCTCAGTATCGAGTATAATGACGCACCTGGTGCGTTGGTCAGTATCTAGTGTAATGACGCACTTGGTGCGTATTCAATATCTAGTGTAATGACGCACGTGGTGCATAGCTCAGTATCGAGTATAATGACGCACCTGGTGCGTTGGTCAGTATCTAGTGTAATGACGCACTTGGTGCGTATTCAATATCTAGTGTAATGACGCACGTGGTGCATAGCTCAGTATCGAGTATAATGACGCACCTGGTGCGTTGGTCAGTATCTAGTGTAATGACGCACTTGGTGCGTATTCAATATCTAGTGTAATGACGCACGTGGTGCATAGCTCAGTATCGAGTATAATGACGCACCTGGTGCGTTGGTCAGTATCTAGTGTAATGACGCACTTGGTGCGTATTCAATATCTAGTGTAATGACGCACGTGGTGCATAGCTCAGTATCGAGTATAATGACGCACCTGGTGCGTTGGTCAGTATCTAGTGTAATGACGCACTTGGTGCGTATTCAATATCTAGTGTAATGACGCACGTGGTGCATAGCTCAGTATCGAGTATAATGACGCACCTGGTGCGTTGGTCAGTATCTAGTGTAATGACGCAATGGTGCGTAGCTCAGTATCGAGTATAATGACGCACCTGGTGCGTAGCTCAGTATCTAATGTACTGACGCACCTGGTGCGCAGTTCAATATCTAGTGTAATAACGCACCCAATGCGTAGCTCAGTATCTAGTACAATGACGCACCTAGTGCGTAGTTCACTGTCTAGTAGATAACGCACCGGTGATGCATAGAGTAATATCTACTAAATGATGCACCTGATGCATAGTTCAATATTAACTACATAACGTATTTACGTAATATAAAGTCTAATATGGGATACACCCAGTATATCGTTCAATAACAAGTATAATTAATATGAATAAATGATAGTAGTCGTCTACTGTATAATTCAGTCATCCTAATTGTAAGGCAAAAATATTGACTGTCATTTGTAATCAATGAAATCAATCAAATCTCACCGAACGAATTAATAAAGAATGAAAAAGATAAAGATATCGAAACGAGACTGTAAATCGATTTACAGCGGTGTCTCGTTTAGCCGGCACTTCAAAAATTCAAGTGCCCTCTCCCCCTCCTCTTCCTGGTTTTAACTAAAATCAATATCGCTAGCTTAGCAGGAGTAAAAATACGTTAACCCAATAACGACTATTTCGCGTCCCAAGTGTTCACTCACCTGCATTAATCTAATTACAAACGTCCAGTTTATTCGTGTGTCTGAATTATATCGTCTACCTATTTCACCGTTCCTGTCTGTCCAACACGCGAAAAATGAATTTTGATATGATCGATCGTTTTCGATTCACCGCTAGCTGAAACGCGTTGGTTTTATCGAACGTCGCGCAGTAACGAAAAAATCACGAAACTGCAAGGAACTAAGACAGTTTTCAAACGAAATTTTTATAAAAATAAACTGCTTCCTTTGCATAATTATTATTCGGAAATATAGTTATTTGTAAATATGAAGATTTGTAAATTCTATTCAGATTTGTGAATTCACAAATTTCATAAGAATTTGTAAATTTAAATATTTGATAATTTAAAAATTTGGAGATAAGGTAACTTAAAACGTTCCTACGCAATAATAACGAAAATAACAATAAAAATGGAGATTCAAACATAGAACGATAAAAATAAAGTTATCTATCGATTAGTTAATTCAAATCGATATAAGATATGCAACACAGTTCGAAATTATTCACACGTGCACCGAATGTCTGAGATGATATTCCATTACGGAGTGTGCTAGCCAGAATAGCAGTTATGGGGATCACCAAGAAACCACAATGGAGTGAGATACCCTTCTCCTACAAACAGTCACCATACGGAGTCACACAAACAATAGTTATCGCTTTATAACAACAGCATTATAGTTTGCAAAAGAAGTTGTCAGAAAGTTTCCTTTTGCATTTTTCTAAAGTATAATTTCATGACATAAAAGTATCGCAAAATGATACCTATGATACATCAAATTATAGCTCAAAGCTCGAGACAAATGACTATATAAATATTTAATCGATATTCGTAGTACAAAATGGCTGATTGCTATTTATAACTAGCAATATTATTACTGCGTTGCTAACTGGCAAGTCACGGGAGTTCTGAGACGATTTCATGACAGAAAAGTGTCACAAAATGACACTTATATTATATCAAATCAAAGCTTAAAGTTTGAGGAAAATGTCTGTATAATTATTTCAGCGATAGTTTTCGTACAAAATGGCTGACTGTTAATTGTAGTATGTTACTTAATAACTAAAACGCAACAGTCTGGAACAATTTCATGAGATAAAAGTATTGCAGAATGGTACTTGCGATATATGGAATTAAAGGCTGAAGTCTGCTGAAAATTACTGTATACGTGCGCCTGTGATATTCATTATATTAGTGAAGTTAGAAATTAAAGAACGAAGCTAGTTATATTATTAAATCAATTTTGAAGGATAGGATAATTTCATGACATGTATCACATAATTATACATGCATCAAATTAACGCTGAAAGTACATTCAAAATATCTAGGTGAATACAAATATTTTAATAGAAAGACAATAATAACAAATAAGTAAAAATTAAACTATTTCATATAAATTGATCAACTTTGAAATGTATGAGTTCTAAAACGATTTCATGACAGAAAAATATCATAAAATAGCACTTATGATATATCAAATTAATGCTTAAAGTCCGCAAAAAATGATGAACCTAATCGCTCATTAGGACTCTCAATACAAAATGGCTGCCAGTTACAGCAAGCAATACCCAAAACGTAATACGTCTGGCGCGATTTCGTGACAGAGAAGTATGGTAAAATGACACGACATATCAATCTGAAGTTCGAGGAAAATTACTTACGGGTCATTAACACGCTTCACATAAAATGGTTCGCTTCAACAAGCAACCAGTTACTATAATATTCGAATTCCATAACACAAAAAATGACTCAGCTTCGTGTGTACATATTGAACTTTCCATCTCTATTCTTCGGCATGAAAATACCGATAAACTGTAAGTGTAAATCTATTTACCAGAAACCACAGACCGCAACTATTACAACAAACTGAATCATCAAACCCTCGAAATTCTATGACAATAATCAGCGTTTACCAGTTTCCTTATCGAATACTATTTTTAAATCGACTGTACGGCAAACAACCGATCCGATTCACACGGATATGCAAACTGCTCGAAGCAGAAGGTAGAACGAGTCTATGGTTGTTCAAATAAAGGCGCGTGCTGGCTGACACGATTGTTGGAAGCGTAGGGCAGGTCTTCAACTACGGGAGTTCAATATTTATTGCGATGTCACCAGAGGTCGTGGACGGTTAATTTCATGAGATAAAAGTATTGCAGAATGGTACTTGCGATATATGGAATTAAAGGCTGAAGTCTGCTGAAAATTACTGTATACGTGCGCCTGTGATATTCATTATATTAGTGAAGTTAGAAATTAAAGAACGAAGCTAGTTATATTATTAAATCAATTTTGAAGGATAGGATAATTTCATGACATGTATCACATAATTATACATGCATCAAATTAACGCTGAAAGTACATTCAAAATATCTAGGTGAATACAAATATTTTAATAGAAAGACAATAATAACAAATAAGTAAAAATTAAACTATTTCATATAAATTGATCAACTTTGAAATGTATGAGTTCTAAAACGATTTCATGACAGAAAAATATCATAAAATAGCACTTATGATATATCAAATTAATGCTTAAAGTCCGCAAAAAATGATGAACCTAATCGCTCATTAGGACTCTCAATACAAAATGGCTGCCAGTTACAGCAAGCAATACCCAAAACGTAATACGTCTGGCGCGATTTCGTGACAGAGAAGTATGGTAAAATGACACGACATATCAATCTGAAGTTCGAGGAAAATTACTTACGGGTCATTAACACGCTTCACATAAAATGGTTCGCTTCAACAAGCAACCAGTTACTATAATATTCGAATTCCATAACACAAAAAATGACTCAGCTTCGTGTGTACATATTGAACTTTCCATCTCTATTCTTCGGCATGAAAATACCGATAAACTGTAAGTGTAAATCTATTTACCAGAAACCACAGACCGCAACTATTACAACAAACTGAATCATCAAACCCTCGAAATTCTATGACAATAATCAGCGTTTACCAGTTTCCTTATCGAATACTATTTTTAAATCGACTGTACGGCAAACAACCGATCCGATTCACACGGATATGCAAACTGCTCGAAGCAGAAGGTAGAACGAGTCTATGGTTGTTCAAATAAAGGCGCGTGCTGGCTGACACGATTGTTGGAAGCGTAGGGCAGGTCTTCAACTACGGGAGTTCAATATTTATTGCGATGTCACCAGAGGTCGTGGACGGTTAAACTACAAAAGGCAACAGGGTCAGGCAGCAGCCGAAGGAAACGGCGGGTCGTGATAAAAAGAATGTGACATAAGTTGGGGGGTTGGCTTATCGATATTGCTTGGAAATATGCAACGACGCTGCTGCGCGAGAAGAAAAGTCATTAACACGAGTCTCTGGCAAGAAACGCAACGATAACGTATCGCGCGGTTTCATCGACGGCCAACTCGGCTAAGAAATCCTGCATCGAATTAACTAACGTTGAATACAAAGAAATGGCGCGCATACGAGGCACAAAAGTGTACGTATTACACGCGATAACGAAGCTATTAATACAATACGTTAAAAGCCTTTTCCGTGCCATCTGACAAGGACTCCTCAGATTTTCTATCACAATTTCTTTGCGTTACGTCGGTCTTAATTAATTAGTTCGGTAACAAGTTTTTAACCATTTATTTGTTTAATAATAGATCTATCAGCAAAAGTAATGAAACAGAATGGGCTTCAAGGCGTAAAAACTCCGACACGATTTCGTGACATAAAAGTATCGGGAAGTGATACTTGTGACACATCAAATTCAAGCTTACGGTACGGAAAATGACTGTCAAGATTTTATTACCGTTTTTACGGGGAAACTGAGAAGGAAGGTCTTTACTTGTTGCGTATCAATCATTTAGTGTGAAGTCTGGTTCTTGACAGAAAATCGCATAATGGCACTTGTGGTGCGTGTAATTAAAGAGTGATGGAGATGAATGTAAAAACTGTAAGTATCTTTTATGTTAGAAGAGAAAGCTAAATTGCGATACCAATTCAATTTCGGAACTTAGGATGTCAAACACAATTTCATGACATAAAAGAATCGCCAAGTAACACTTATGACGTATCAAATTAAAGTTCAAGGTCCACTTAAAATAAGTATATAAGTGATCGCTATTTTTTATACGAACTAGATGGTCATTGAAATTAATCATTTTGGAGCATAGCCATAAATATAACTTTAACAAAGATTCATTCTTTTTTTGTTTTAAGAACATCGTTTAACCACTTACATAGGCATTTTCTTTAAACTTTAAACTTTAATTTGATACGTTATAAGTGCTACTTTCTAATACTTTTATATCATAAAATCATTGTAATATCTAAAGACATTTTCGCTCAAGAAATTCTTTAAATCCACAAAACCGTTTTTGTTAAAAACTTGAAATTAAACGATTGAAGTAACTAATGTTAACCTACTAATTATTAATAAATAGCAAAAAATTCCACGATGAATGAAACGAGGAATAAATTCCAGCTCACATGAACGCATTTTAAACGCAAATAGGCAAAACGCAAGTTTATAACGATCTTTGATCTTATTAATTACTAATCTAGCTCGTTACGTAAGCAGCGAGATAATTATTCCGACTAATTGAATAATTGATTACAGATACTTAGGATTCACAGTCCGGAAGGAATAACATCTATTTCGTGTGTTTATCTGTGCACTGATAACGTAGAACCGATTAGAATTCTCCTCGTTTATACACCGTGAACCTTCGTGAACTGTGATATCCTTTTTCTCTTTCTCTCTTTTTAATCGATACATTTATTTGCAACAGAAGAGAAAAGGAAAATCGATACAACTTACGTTCCAGCTGCAACTCGAACGTACATCAAGTTATATTATAAATAAATATATTACGAACAGATGTTCCAGATGATGTCGGTTCAAAAGACGAAGATAACATAATAAATATATATATGTATCACGGACGGCTTCAAAAATCATTAAAACAGCGAGGTCTTATCGTGACCCACGCAATGATGATACCGATTTCTTCTCCCCCTTATCAACCTACATCGAGACACCGCTTTTCTTTTGCATAGACGATTCTGGTGCTTATTTTACCCGTGTTTGTGATAAGCCATTCTTGGAAAAAGTATTTTAAGGAATATAGTTGAAGATGTAATACGAATCGCTGTGTTTCATTTATTAAATTTTTGGGAATTAATCTTTCAATGGAAAAGCAACTCGGTAATATACCAGACTAGTTATATTGCTAACTTTGCACGTATGATATGTATACTAATGACGTTTTACATTATTGTTGCATACCGAGATGTCTGATTTGAAGAGTTGGAGATATGGAAACTGAGAATATTACCAAGAGTTAGATTACTACTTGTTATATTACCACGTGTTATATTGCCACGCGCTATAATGTTAATCATTGTACCGCCTCGAATTATATCGCCATTTGTTGCGTCACTATTTGTTATATTGCGGTGGAATATATTACCACGTGTTATATTGCCGCGTATTATATCACCACGTGTTATATCACCGGTTATATTGCCACGCATTACATTAACATGCGCTGTAATGTCAACCATTGTATCGCCACGTGTTGCATTACTATGCGTTATATTGCCGCGCGTTATATTACCACGTGTTATATTGCCGCGTATTATATCACCGGTTATATTGCCACGCATTACATTAACATGCGCTGTAATGTCAACCATTGTATCGCCACGTGTTGCATTACTATGCGTTATATTGCCGCGCGTTATATTACCACGTGTTATATTGCCGCGTATTATATCACCGGTTATATTGCCACGCATTACATTAACATGCGCTGTAATGTCAACCATTGTATCGCCACGTGTTGCATTACTATGCGTTATATTGCCGCGCGTTATATTACCACGTGTTATATTGCCGCGTATTATATCACCGGTTATATTGCCACGCATTACATTAACATGCGCTGTAATGTCAACCATTGTATCGCCACGTGTTGCATTACTATGCGTTATATTGCCGCGCGTTATATTACCACGTGTTATATTGCCGCGTATTATATCACCGGTTATATTGCCACGCATTACATTAACATGCGCTGTAATGTCAACCATTGTATCGCCACGTGTTGCATTACTATGCGTTATATTGCCGCGCGTTATATTACCACGTGTTATATTGCCGCGTATTATATCACCGGTTATATTGCCACGCATTACATTAACATGCGCTGTAATGTCAACCATTGTATCGCCACGTGTTGCATTACTACATGTTATATTGCCGCGCGTTATATTACCACGTGTTATATTGCCGCGCATTATATCACCACGTGTCGCATTGCCACGCATTATATTACCATTCGCTGTAATGTCAAACATTGTACCGCCTCGAATTATATCGCCATGTACTGTATCACTATGTGCTATATTGCCGCGTATTATATTACCACATGTTATATTGCCATGCATTGTATCGCTACGTATTACAACGTCCCTCACTGTATTGCTATCCATTATATTTCCTCCGGTTATATTGCCACTAATCGTATTACTACCCGTTATAGTGTCACTCATTATATCGCCACGTTTTATGTTGTCACACACTGAGTTATCACACACTATAACATCAAGTATTCTATCATAACATGTATCATCGCTTGTTATATCACCACGCGTTATAACGACGCATGTTATATCGCCACACGTTATAACAACGTGTGTTGTAGTAACGTTACCCGGTGTATCGACAGCTACAATATCAAAGGAGAAAACTTTACGCGAACTCAATATATTTCCAACTCCTGGAATTTTCCGTTATTAGAACTTCATTCGTGGCAATATAACGAGAGTCCACAATAATAGGCGAGTAAATACACGAGCGTACAATTTGTAATTGAAAACCTTATTTTCTCTGGTTAAATGCAGTTGTATTTCATATTCATATCTTATCCTGCGGTAATATTGACGTTGCTTTTCTAAAAAATTTACCAACGAGCATGCCATTGGCCTTAACTGCAAACCGCGATTAGGGAACACGTGTTTTTAAGACGCATTCTAAGAAACCAACCTCATTCTCTGTCCACAGTCCTCGTAATTATATTTATATGGTAAAATAATAACATTACGCACTAGTTAATATAGTTCAATTTTAATCGAAACACCCATTGTCGGTTCTAAATTTAACCTTATTTTTTTATATTAATATATTGATAAATGTTTTTGAGAATATTTATTATTTATATTTATAAAGATGTTATAATTTAGTATTAATCTTATTCCTCTATAGTTAATGCCAATGATAAGCGCATTTTGCAATTCGTGTAAAGCAACGCAATTGTATTAAAATTTCAATTGATTGTTACTGGTTGTGTGTCAATAATAATCGTAAAAATGATGCAACACGATTACCGTGCCCGTTATCTTGAAGCCTCGAAAGATAACGTTTATTTTGCTGCGAATCTTCACGAATGATGCATATGTACAGTTAAAAATTACGACCGCGAGTCGGTTATCGTGGATATCGATACACGGGAAAAATATGCGAAAGAGTAATTATTATCGATACAGAGTATCGCCGCATCAACGAACTCGACCGATCGAAAGAATTTCAACGAAGCTTTTTCTAACGAAGAATGAAACCGATGCACGTGTGCATTATTGTAATCTTATCAACGATTGTATGAATCAACTTTGAACTTTCGTTCTCTTTAGAACCAAAATATATGTATCGCTCAAATTAGAACAATACAGGAACGACGTAACGATAGGTTAGCTTCATCAGTGCCGTATCATCACGTTAACATCAAACGAGAATGCTTTTTATCGTAGAAAATTTCCTATAAATCTTTTATCGTAATTTCTAATAAATTCTTTGACAATAAAATTATTAAAAGCCTTACGTATGTACATTTACTCTGCACGCGTTATTTTGTAATACATTAATCTAACCTCCAAAACGATTAAAACCTGTTTTAAGGAAAACTATAAAAAAAGCAATACAGAACGATACGCATAATGAAAGTTTAATGATACATGACTCAACAGGGGTGAAGGTACGATGTATCATATGTCTTGTATAGCAATTAACGTATTTAAAAAAATGAACATTAGCGCATCGTTGATAGATGCGTGCAGCAACGCGTGCAGATATCGATACTCGATCGTCGTAACGACTAATATCGTAACACGTTCCCTCTAACGCTCGCCGATACTCGAAGCAGCCAATTAAACACTACATAATATGAAATTCCAGCGTCAAAGACTTCGTTATTTAATTCCAATGAAATAATATTACAAATCCATTATTTACTACGTGAAACGAGCGAGTGCTTTAAATTTATCTACATACGTGCGTGTGTAACAGGCTTCTGTGTACGCTCGAACGTGTGTTTATTAAGAATGTCTATCAACGTGATCTTTGGTCCATCGTAGTAACGGCAAATAATAAGATAAATGCAAAGATTCACCGCAATAAAATTAACCGAACAAACAATTGAAAAAACGAATCATAACAGAGAAAGAAAAGAGAGGCTATAATTAAAAGCAAATAAAATGCACAGACACTTACTAGGCAGCTCGGCACCATTAAGGATTACAGGAAACTGATAATCCTTGGCGGCTGGTCGCGTTTATGGGTCTTTTGCGCGCACAGAACCATCTTGCTTAATTATTATCCCAAGTCACCGAGAGAGTTACTTTCCATTCAAGCGGTAGTTTCGCCGCAACATGATCAATTGTACCGCGCAAAACTCCGATACGTAACGTGTGCACGAGCACTATGGTTTAGGTTCTGTAAACGCATTCAACGATCACGAAACACCAAACACTTTCAAGTAGAGATCTCCTCGTGTCACACGTGAAACGAGACTAAACGTCGTACGTGCGCGTATACTACGGCGTAAACGGAACGCGAAAGGTTATGGAAGAGCCTAAGACGCTCGAAAAAAAAAGGTAGAAACACGAAAACGAATTACGAGGAACGCGACGGTAGCACGGGAATGAGAAGGAGGCACGTAGAACGCGCAAACCCGAGGAGAGACCGCGACGTTCGTTTTTACATGGCGTGTTACACTGGCCGCACTATCCTTACTAAAAATCGCCTCGAATCCGCGAAATTCACATACCGCGTCTACTAGCTCCATCTTGACTCATGAGTTAAGCCGGACGCGCACGTTCTTTCTGTTCCCGTCGTCTTCCTGATCGTTGTCGTGTCGTCGTCGCCGCGGCCGCGCCGTCGTTTCTGGTGGTCAGCGTCTTCTGTTCGTCTTTCCACTCACCGCGTACACTATCTCTCGCGCACACGCCGCTCGGCCGTTACTCACTAACACGATAAATCCATTGTGAGAGACAGAGAGAAAATTCCTGCCAGCACATTCCGCGTGTACACTCGCGAGCATCATAGGCTTCCCTAGGGAAAATGGCGGCGTAAGGAATAGGGACCCCACAACTTCTTCGTCTTTCGTTGCGAAATTTTTAATTTACACATTTTTTAATTGCAATTTCAGAGATTTGAATGCTTGAAAATTCAGAACTTTCTTGATTGTAAATTTGCAAATATTAGAATTTGAAAATTACGGAATCTTGGAATTTGGAAATTTACAAATTTGGGAATTTGGAAAATGACAGTTGGGAATTTAAAAAGTTAAACTGTTAAGAATGACAGCATTTAGAGATTCAGAAATCTAAACTAGAAACTTTGTAATCCAGGGATTTGGAAACTTAGGAAGAATTGGGATTGGAGAATTTGCAAACGTGACAATTTAGAACTTGGAAATTGATAACTTAGAAGCTCTAGAATATGACGTTTAAAAGTGAGAAATGTAGAAACTAAAAAAATTTGTAAATATGAAAATCTGAACATTGGGTTTAAACAACGCTGATTCTTTGAAATTTCAGTATTAACTTGAGGAAATAAAATATAAAAAGTTATAAGGTTAAAAAATTTGCAAATATTTCAATTTAAGGACCTATAAAGCTGTGAACTTAAACATGAAGAAATTTGAGAACTTTAGAATGAGGAAATTGGAAGATTGAGTTTGTAAATTTGGAAACTTAAAAATTTGAGAATTTTGACATTTGAAAATCTGTGGATTTAAAGATATGAAAATGGGAGTATCTCTACAAGTAGTAGAGAACTTGAAACTTTAAAAATTTGTTAATGGAATAGTTGTAAAATTTGAAGTGTACGAATTTGATCCCCGAAAATCTTAAATAAGTGAAAGGAGGTCCTTCCCCCTATTCTACTAGCGATTCAAAGGAAGCCTACGTTGCCCCGAAGTGTACGTAAGTACTGAATACGAGGGTGTACGATGGAGTACGACGAGGCGCGCGGCGGCTGCTCTCGGCTC